TTGCTTCAGGTTTCTGCTATTCTCATAACTGGGACAGGGAGTTATAGGACAGACAGTTTCACATTTTATAGGTCTGTCTGCAAATAAAAATAGAGAGATGTATTATCTTTCACCATTTAAAATAAATGTTCAGTTAGTATTAAAAGCCTAAAACTCTATCCCATAGCAGATAAAACTCCCCAGTTAAGCTGACACTTTTCCCCTCACAAAGAGGGGCCAGGTTTGATCCTATCCACAACTACGAGCTGCTCGTAGACAAACTGAGCTGTATCTCTCCCATTAGCAAAGCCCGGTGCAGGAAGCACGCATGAGGTAATATGAGACAATAGCTCTTTCACAGCCATTGGGGTCCTAGCATCTCCTGCCTTTATGCCACAGGCCAGTATTCACTGTCTTACTTTATTTTTAAGGCAATCCTTATATCTTGCACCCTATGCAATACTTCGCACAGGGATGGCCAGAGCTTCCTCAGATCAAGCGATGCCTGATGGCTTGCAAACACCCACCTCCTAGTTCAGTTCAAAACTTTCCTAACTTTGCTCTCACTAGTTTACTTACAATAGCTATAAGGGAAGATTATCTAACACAGCTTGTTTAATTTTGACCAGAGCATTACAAATAACAATACCCTGATTCTCTGTAAACATTAACTAAAAGGATCACTACGAGAGCTAATGAAATATTTGTGAAACTTTTTGTAGGATTTTTTTCACAAATCAATTCACTATCAAGATATGTAGTATCTGGCACTTAAACAATGAAACATTTCCTTTGACTGTTCCTGTGATTTAGTATTTTTCAGAAGAGTTTTCTGTTTTTTCTGGCCAGTGTCCTTAAAATAAGACTATTTTACATTCATTGCTATACTACATTCAGTTTTAATTTCATACTCACAAATAAGGTCAATAGGTGTCCTGATATGCATAAAGTTAGACACATCTGTAGTGGTTTGCAGGTTTAGAGCTTTAGACATTAAAACTTTGTCCACGCTCATCTGGAAAGCCAGGGATCCACCTCGATTTATACTGTGAAGGTTTTACCAAGGATATCACATTTCTTTAATCCCAATTTCCCGGAAAGGTGCTAACACTTTCCCTGCAGAGTGTGGATAGGCCAAAGTGTGGAGGCAATAATCAGCGGTTCGTGGAATATAGGCTTGTGGTTTAAGAAGCTTATTACCATCCATGATCCTCAGCCACCTTATACCCTGTGCTGCTGGGACATTTTTTGTGGTTGCTGTCTCAGCAATTTAGTCCCATAGTTCCAATGCATTAGTGTAATGGCATAATGTCTGGATTACAAACACTCTGGAGAAATGCATGAGAGCCACAACAGTAATTATAAAATGCTTTAAATCATATTATTTGAACTTACATTTATAGATAATTTGCTTCAATCCCTATTGCAATTTGTAATTATTTTGGAAAAAAATTCAGTGCTCTTTAAGTTCAGAAGTCTTTCCTACTAGCATGAAGTTGTTATAAAAAGCCTTGAAATAGTTTCTGTCAGGGAGAAGAGGGAACTGAAAGAAGTCACTCAAAAGGCAAGTGCTGTGCAACAAGCAGTAAGATATCAGCCACCCTTCCTAAATTGCATCACCTTAGTTTCTGGGACTTTGTTCAAAGTCAAACCTGATTTCTTTGTCATCTGGAGAAAGGCTGATTGTACAGCTACATCATAACTTCAGGAGTTAAAACAAATGGTAAGTCTATTCAAAGAAATACTGGATTCTTTTCCTTTGAAGCCCGGTTCTTGAGCTCAAGAGCTCCTTCATACTATTAACCTTATTCTCTATGTTCATGCAGAAAAAAAAAATGGTTTTGACAGGTTTTAATTTAAAGTTATAAGAACCAGAAGTTTAGATTTTAAATAAGAAATATCGGTAATTAAATATTTTAGCAACAGTGATAGTGTCCTAGTTAAAAGCTGAAGTGCACTTAGGGAGGTATAAAAGTGTGTAATGGGAGAAATCATAAGCCAGTTGTGTTGGGTTTCAAGAAGCAAACCAGTTGCTGTGTCAGTCACATAGAGTCTGCTGCACTTAAATTGGAGGTCTAGAATTACTTTAGAGACTGGCTGATGAGGCAGTAAAAAGGTCACAATTCCAAAATCTTGGCTCCTCTTCCAAGAGATCATTTTACTGAATCTCTGCCATGTTCACCTCGCGCAGAAGGAATATTTTTCATAGTCAGAAAATTGACATTGATTATCTGATCAAGCAAAAGATACTATGGCAATTTTTCCACATTATATTCCCATTGCATCTGTCTAACAAGACAAGATTTATACTTCCTTTGGCTGTTATTCCTAAAACATCATTCCTTTCTTTGTTAGAAAGTTCAAAATTATCTTGCCCCACTCTTCTCTATTCTTTGTCAATAAATTTCTTTTTATTACATTGTCCCCATATCATGCTGGAACACACCACCTGTTTCACTCAAACCATAAACACCATTTCAGACCTCTCTGGATTAGTCCTATCTAATTAGTCACTTGGTTTTTTCAGTGGTCCAGCTGATAGTTCTTGACCACTGACAGAAGGCCTTTGATATTATCTATATAACTAACTCAGTGATCAACACTGTCTACAGGTGACTGATACCAGAAAAGGAATTGAGAGAGCATGAACAATTGCAATCAATTTGGTGCTGTGGCTCTCATAGGAATGAAGGAACTTATCCTACATTATTTCAAAAGAACAATGATAATTGACATCAGATCTGATCAAAAGTCATGATTTCTGTTCCGCAAGAAACACATTCTCTTTCAAAACAGTTCTTTAAAGAATTTATAAATTTTGCTGGTGGCTGCTAAATACCCCCACAAATACATTCAAAGGAGTTACAATTCTCAAAGTGAAGGACAGTTGAGCCGTGAACACCTTTGCCCCAATGTACCAGGTTTGTCTGTCCCTCCAGGACTAACTGTCCTAGGGGACAGGCAGGAAGCTGGGAGGCTTACATGTCACTAATAACCCTGTAATTTGGACTCAAACCCTGAACCTTCTCCTGCAGCAGGAGAAAGGCTTCAGGCCCTGAGTTGCCCGGGATGAAGGTGGCCTTTTTGGGGCTTCTGGGTTGCCTGCTGTACAGCTCGGTTCTCCCAAGCAGTGGACTGAATCTTTTGTGCCTGGTGCAGGCTTGGTTTCTGAAGCCTCAAAACATAGTCTCTGACACCAGCCTGAGTCTGTTTCAGTGCTAAACACGGCAATAATTTATCACAGCCATTCCAGACTGTACAGCCAAGACAGCGGCAGGCTTCCCGGTTCCTCTCATCCCAAAAGGTGCTGAAGGCTTGACGCAAGCCTGGTTACTGAGATCTTCAGATTCTCTGCTGGAGAACTACAAGTCAGTAACTGGCCAGGTACAGCATACCTAATATTTCCAGCTGATCTATTAGTTTTGCTACCTTCGTTTCTCACACAGTTTACATAGCAAGGTTGCCCAAGGACCATAAATTTTGCACCCTTCACTTCAAGCAGAAATTCATGATGTAGTGAAACATTGATATCAGCTTAGTAACCTGACTAGGAAATTGATCAGGGACTAAAGCAGGTGAAGGTGTCCATCTTTCAGAAGAAATCTGTGGTGATAATTTTCCTTTGAACATTTCCTATCCCGATAAAATTTGATAAAATAATTTCTGAACCACAACAAAAAATTAACAGAAAAGTGCAATCCACCTATAACTGAGACACGCCTAAAAGCAGCCATATTCCCAAGCATCAATGCTGCAAGTTTTACAGGTTATAACATTACTTGCACAATGATATCTGAAATTCCTGACGTCAGCCGTGGACATCTGCAAAGGCAGATATCAGTAGTTTCCTATTACTGAGAATGGTCTGTAAGAAAAACAGGAAAATGTCAACAGGTTCCATTTTTGCAACGCAGGATGACAAGGCAATGCTTACGTAGTCTGTGATAAACCTTATTTTATATAGAAATAATTACTCCACACACTCAGTTCAAATGGTTATAAATAAAAATAATACCACAACTATTTAACTATGCTGCAGTACTTGTCAAGCGTATGGTCCTAGAAATACAATCCTGCTTTTAAGCACATATGAGGCAGAGTTTAAGCCAGGCAAAACCCCGCATGTGTTAGTAGAACTTAACTTTAAAACAGAGAGTCAGGGCATGGTATCTTATTACTGAAGAAATAGGTGATTGTGTGTAAATTTTCTTGAACTACAAGATAGGACCTACTTCAGGAGAAAACTTTGGAAGTTGGACTTCAATCACGCACTTAATCAGGTATCAGTCCCCAAGTAGATTGCCTTGAAGATTCCCAGCAGTGCAAAAATGGCTTGAGATCATTCCCAAAGCATCTGAGCCTGGTAGGACTTAGTAGGCTTCGGACTTCCTCGTTTATTAATGAGAGCATTGCTAGTCATAGTTATATAATGTTTAATAACATATTGACCATTTAGTTGCACACTGACATTGTTATTTGTTTTCCACCACTAAAAGCTACAGAGATTGGCTACTTTTTAGTGATTATCAAAATTAATGTTCTAAAATCCACACATAGATGTCCTAAGTCATTGACAGGGATTTTCAAAAAGGCTAAGCATACATTGCTTTCTGTGTAGTCTGCACTTTTACACCACAATTATCCCTTGGATTGTGAAGATTTAGTGTAAAGGTCTTTGGACAACATTTGAACAGTTAGAATGAATGTATATTTTAATTTGGCATCTAACTCATATCTCTCTTAATATGTACTGAACCAAAAAGTAAACAGATTGCAAACCACAGTTTCCTTATTACAGTCCTTTCTCTTATCACAGTTTCTCATGCCATTCTGAAATCATATGAAATCAATTAAGGTTGGTTAGAAAATATTGCTGTCTTTACCGTTTAAGCAGGCATATAAAAGCCCAGGTGTAAGTTGGAAATTCAGAAGAAAATCAAAGCAGAGATCCTGTCTTAACAGCTGTCATCAGCACCAGTAGTTTCTTTTTAAAGGAGAGAGTACCTTGCAGGGAGAAAAAAATGGCAAGTTTGAACTGGAGTTATCATGGCAACAATGGTAAAAGCTATCTTTAATAGAAAATCAGTTTTATTTATAATATATTGAATATTTCTTTATTTTCCTTATAAAAATTCTTCAGAATTACATGGATTATTAACATATCAAGTATCTGTATTATGTATAGAATTGATTCCAAGAGAAAGTGTCATTAATTCAGTCTTGTACAGAATTAGAAGTATAAAACTCCAATTATTTATTTATTTTGCCTAGGACCTGATCACTGGCACAAGTTATACCCTATTGCCAATGGAGACCATCAATCTCCTATTGATATTAAAACCAAGGAAGTAAAAAAAGATGCATCTCTGGGGCTTCTCCGGATCACTTGGAAACCTTCCACGTGCAAAGAGATTGTCAATGTTGGACATTCATTCCATGTGAATTTTGAGGATAAGGACAATCAATCAGGTTAGTAAAAGGGGGATCTAGAGAGGGGGACACAAGATATTTGCTATTCTCATTCTCTTTTTCTCTAATTTATATAGAAAACAAAACTATTTGCCTTTCAGGAGTATTTATATAGATTAGGGTACGCTTGCTAATTTTGTTATACTAGTTGGCAACAGCCTTTATGTGTCACAGAAGATCCAAATGATGTTCTTTAAAATTAGGACTTATTGGCAAGTGTTCTTGTGTTAATGGCAAAAGGACTGGAACTTTCCCAGCAGGAAGCTTCCAGGATACCTTGATAGCAAAGGAGGAGATTTCTGTGTGCTGATGTATATAATATTGCAAGTGCTGCAAGAACTCCAGGTACATACTTCTAAGCATCATGCACAGTTACAGGTGCCTATCCCCACAGTGGGAATCGATACACGTTTACGTGCCTGTAAGCAAGGAATTAATGATAATGACCAATAAACAGTGTCAATAACATCTGAGTACATCTATGGCATCTCATAATCTAAATCCAGAAAACTACAGGTACCTATAACTGTTACTTCTGTGAAAAAAGAGACCTTTAAAATACTGTCATAAATAATAAAATTTTAGTGGGAAGTAAATTCCGTGAGGTAGGACAGTTTGTTCTGCAGTTATTAAAATCCAACTACTGTTTCTGGAAAACAGCTGTTTATCTGCAGTATTCTTCCTTTTGTTTTGTCTCTGGAGTAGAAGGTGTATTCACATATATTTCACCTGAATTTTGGAACTGTATCGAGAAGACATGCAGATGGCACCATAACCAATGCATTCATATACATACCTAGAACTAAAACCTTCAATATCTCTGTCTTAACTTCATAAACTGTTGGGTTTTTTTTTCTCAAGATGTTTAAAAATAATATAATATCAAAACTTATTAACATGTTTACATGGAGAAAACCGCTTGCACGTTATAAAATCTTGGAAATAACTTGCCTGTCAGGAAGACTATTGATTGATCTTTTTACCATACTTCACGCATTTGCAGTGCTCACCGGTGGACCTCTCACTGGAACGTATAGATTGCGGCAGTTTCATTTCCATTGGGGCCAAACGGATGAGCAAGGCTCAGAGCACACAGTCGATGGAAGGAAATACGCCTCAGAGGTAGAGTCAATGAAGGAAAAGTCACAGTCAAGTTTTCAGAATCCAGTCACATATATCATCCTGAGGGAAAAAAAGGGCCATATGTAGATAGCCTTGATAGTTATTCTATTTTGCGAAGAAAATACCATCTCGGTGTGTGCAAAGTTGACTTTGCAAGAGCAAATTGGGTTTTGTGGTCAGTACTTATTAATCTAAATTTAGATAATCTAAATCCATATTTAAATAATGAAACAGGGCTGAAAAGTGCAGGTTTAAAACTAAGTAACATCTGCTAAATGTTAAAAAGTTCATCTGTACAAGTATATTCAGCTCAATACTAAATCAGCTGCTTTTTAGTGAGTCTGATCACCCAGTGCCCCACTATAATTGTAGCTGGAGCTCCTCAAAGCTACAAGCATGCTGATCACTGTAAGGTGTGGTTTTTTCTGGCTTTTCAAGAACAGCAAGTGAGAAGGAAACCTAGAAGAAACTAATGAAGAGGAAGAGGTAGAAAAATCTAGTAAGGGTCCCAGCAACTGTGAAGTACATTAAAGGTCTTCAGATAACGAAGCAAGGTCTGTTTTACAAGAATTTAAAACGACCTCTAAAGTAACAGATTTTATTTGTTTCACAGTGCCTTAGTGTCCTGCTAATAGTCATCGACATGCCAACAAACAATTCATGTTCAATCCATGTAATGTTATCTTTGGCAGCTTTTTAGATTTTAGGAACATTACAACATGACAAACTAATGAGACGGATTATACATTTTTAATTTAGGCATTAGGAACACACAGCCAGAAGTGTGTTCCTAATAGGAAATTTTCCGCTGTTGAGAGTGCTAAAGCTATCTCATTTGATACAGCCAAGATAAGAAAGGGGTGTCCCTTTAGAATTGCTTTCTGCTGTAAAGAGATAGTGCGCCTAAGCTGCGTTTAAGCAGCACATGATTAAGTGTTTATTAGTTTGTTTTGAATCAATAGTTTAAAATTTGTTGAAACAATAAAGATGTTAAGTTGAAAATAAGCAATTCAGCTTTTAAAAATTTTTAAAAAAATTTAAATCCCCAGAAATTTTAAAAACCCCTGATTTAAATCAGCATTTTAAGATTATGTGCATTACATGATAATTTCCATGTTCTGCTTCTGTGTTTTAGAATCTCCTCCTTGTATTTCAAGAAGTTTTGATATTTTTTGTGGCCATGTTGCTGAAACATTGTATAAATAATCCAGGACTAGACTACTGCCATAGAGTTACATAGTTGCTAAGGAACTGATAAGCATATTAATAGGTGAGAAGGTATTTAAAGAAACTACTACGATTTCCAATTATGTAGGTTTTGGAAATCTGTATTCTGCAAAAAAATAGCTCAAGATATAATACGCAACATACTAGCCTGAACAAAAGTTCCTTAAATCTCTATAAAGGAAATACTTGTTGAACGATCTATGTTGAATATAAAACATCCACAGCTATGACATTCACAGCCATACCATCAACCTTTTGCAGTAAATGTGACTCTTGTGAATAAATATTGCACCATGTGTAACAAAGTGGTTACACACCTCAAAATGCTATTTAATGTATTACGTTTTAAAGACATGGAAGATCATTAGCAACAGAGTTAGAAAAATGTATGACCCTTTTGAGTTGTGATTTTCCACATCTCTGTGTACTTACCCTTAAATTGCTTTCAGGAATATGTGCAGTTCTGCCTACCCCAAGATAAAGCCTGGGTATGAGTCCTGACAATGCCAGGGCGATTCAGCAGAACACCATCAATCTGCAGGCGTTCACAAGCACGTTCTCAATTTCATGGTCAGACTCTAAGGGTGCAGAGTGGTGTTTCTAACTATTTTACTCTAATTGTGGAATTTCTTTGTAATAGAACCAGCAAAAATGATCCTGTCAATTGCTTTTTAGCTTCATCTAATTCACTGGAATGCAGACAAGTATTCGAATGCAGCTGAGGCTCTCGACAAGCCAGATGGCTTGGCAATTGTCACTGTTTTCCTGAAGGTCAGTTACTAATATACTGAAAACACATGTGTCTCTTCCCTTTCCATATCAAAACTGCAGTCAGTGATGAGGACTAGGAAAAACACATCTTTGTGTTAGAACAGTGGAGATGACTGTCTCTTATCCTGATTTAGCCTATATTGCCAACTTTGCTCATGCTTCTATTGGATGTTTTACCCAAATCCCCATTATAATCCACAGACCTTCATGAAGATCTGTGCTTTAAAGCATGGGTGCTAGTGAGCTTGTGGTGTTTCATCCACCTTTGTAACAGGCAATGCTCACATTTTGTGTTTGCTTTCCACTCCATTTACAGCAATGTGAACTTTCACAGAAAGACGGTTTAAGTCACATGTGCTATTACTGTGTATCAATCAGAAAAGAAAATTCCAAATCAGAACTCCAAGAAATCTTAAATCCATGCACATGACATATTTAGCCTTTCAAAACGAACTGAAGCAGGAAAAATAATTCCTTAATATTAAGAGCTTTGTTATATAAAGGAAATATCATAAAATACTATTATATATTAGTATATACTGCTGAAATATTACTCATAGTTCACATTGAAAAAAGATACCAGAAAAACCAACTCTGAATGCTTTCAAAATGAATTTCAAGGACAAACGCATACGATCAAAGCAATCGTATACTTCTGAACCACAGATTATTTTTGCACTACTGTTTGTGTTACTCTGCAAAGCAGAAGCAAAACTTTCTGTTATTTCCTTGAAAGTTCTAAATGTTGTCTTGTTCATAGTGGGGTTGCAAAGCTAAATTAATCAACATTTATGAAGCATATTCTTATTCTTGCTGTTGTTATGTATTTAGGATTTCAAAGTATTTTTATTTACAGCTTGGCTTATGCAATGAAAATCTGAAGGGTGTCTTGAAGGCCTTGGATTCAGTAAAGACTAAGGTAAACATCATCACAGCCTGATCATGATAACATATAGAGTAGTTAAACCAAAATCTATGCAGTCTCTCATCTGCCTTTTTGAAGACCTCAGAATAATGCAGAGGTTCAGTTGAAAGAGGCTGTTGAGGTGTGGGAGCTGAAAGCATGATCCTGGACATGAGTCTGTGGGATCCCATAAGATATTTTGTACTGTTGGGGCTCCACCCTGTAGACAGCTATGGGCTCTTTGTGTTAGGAGTACACAGTTCCTGATTCCTACCTAATCGTATGCTTCCATTCGTCTGTCTGTCTATTTAAAATTACCCCTGGTCTCCATCACCAGCACAGCCTCACAATAACCAAACTGAAGTTTTGCTCAGTTAAAGGAAGGAAAAAAGGGAGCAGAAATAACACCAGAACTGCACTTTTTCTTAAGCTGTCTTGTAAAGCAGTGACTATTCCCACTAAACCTCTCATAAAGGCACGAGATAAGTGGAAACAGAATCTGAATATCTGAATTTTAGTGAAGCGTGTTAAAAATACAATACGGCATCTCCCACAGGATTTTAAAAAGGAATGTGGACGCCGACCCTGAACATGCAAACATTATCAACATGCATCAATCCTCCCTTTAGCCACAACAGACAGCTCAAAATTAATTACACACTGAAGTGTTCTGTTTGCTCAGGAGCAGAGTTCAGTATTCTGAAAAAAACCCACACCACAACTCTTTAGTCAGCGATGACCGAACTCTGGTGTCTGAAACCATTTGGGGGGAAAGCTGTTTTTTGTTTGGGTTTGGTTTTTTTTTTGAGTAACACTACTCATTGCCGGTGGTGCCAGCCTGGATGTTTCTCAGTGTCAAACTTATCGCCAGGGCAACGAACTCACCTCTGATGCTATGAGAAAACACTAGTGTTTTGAAATTACCTCCTCTGATTTAGGAATACAGTCCCTTGTAGCCTGAGATGTAAATCCTGTCTTACTCATGAGTTTCATTAACCCAGTGTATCTTCCACAGGGTAAGCAAGCTCCCTTTTCTGATTTTGATCCTTCAAGCTTACTGCCTAAATCCATGGATTACTGGACCTACAATGGATCTCTGACTCATCCTCCCCTCCATGAGAGTGTCATCTGGATTATCCTTAAAGAGCCAATTACTATCAGCTCAGAGCAGGTACAGTATTACAAGGAATAAGACTCTTCTTGTCTTTTAGCTTCAGGGATATTATCACCTGACATTGTATTGCTGCATTTTATTAGGTTTATTTGTCTCATTTTTATTGTAAAATGAGTACTACCTCTACACCACATTACTGCTCTTAATAAACACTTATGATTCTGCCTCAGCTGGGTTAGGCTACTCATATCTTACAAGGCCTTGTGGGAATTGAGATAAGATGACTTCAGACTGGTGGAATTGCTTCCATTGCTCCAGGAAAGGCAATGTGCTTATTTAAATTTCCTTGCAGTGCTGTGTCTCCCAAAGCAGAAGCCAGGCAGAAAGCTGAATTCTTCCCATCTTCATTCCTACAAGACTCCCCAAATGAAAATCATATTCTGATCAAATCTCAGCCAAAAACCTGCCTCAGCAGGGAGTTTTGTGACATGCCACAAGATCAAACAGCCAGAGTATAGTTCTGCATTCAGTGCTATCGTAGAGTGGTTAGGAGCTTTACCAATTGTTTTATTATTGCATTATTTCCTAACAATGCCTGTAGGACAAGCTAAATATCCCTCACTGGCCTTATCGAGGTAAGTATTCTTTCTGTTTTAAACTCTTATGAAACTTTCTTGTGCAGTTAAATTATTGCCGCCTGTCCTTCCAAAGGTGTTTGAATTAATATCTTTCCAGATAAGGCTCGTTAAGTACTTTGAATCTTTGAAAATAAGAAGCAGGCATGTAGAAATAAATTGGGTATTATGAACATCCTTAATATTCATTCCAGGTGTTATTAATTTGGCTATTCAATGGAAAGGGGACAGAAATTAAGGATAAATAGTTTGATACACAAAGCAATGTTTAAAGCAAAGCTGAATTAGTTCTAAGGCATTGGTTTTTACTTTCACAGTTGGTGATATTTTTAATTTATCAAACCCCAGGTATTTTATACAGGTGATAACACAGTGGTACCAGTGTCTGGAGGTTTCTGTGATAGTTGGACACAGCGGTGAATAGGATATTCAAGGATGGTTCGTTCCAGTAATTCCATGGCAGCATAAATCCTGACTCACCACTGGATTAATTCAACATTATGAAGCTAAATTTTTTTAAAAAATAGAAAGTTACTTGTGAAGTATAACAATTTCTCACTGACATGCAATATAAAAGTGAAAAGCTAAATATATCCCTTCCTTCATTGCCCCATTTAGCTGGCTCAATTCCGCACAATCCTGTCTTCTGCTGAAGGGGAAGCACCTTGTCCCATACTAAGCAATCACCGACAACCCCAACCACTGAAAGGCAGAGTGGTGAGAGGCTAATTTCGGACAACCAGCGCAAATCTGGATGACAGTCAGCTCATCAAGAGCAACACATCCAAACACAGACTACAGAAAAATCTACCAAAGAAACGAGGATGTGTGTGTTCTTAGCTGCAATACTCCTGTCCTGCCAGAAGCTGTTGTAATTCATTGTGGCATTCGGCTAGTGCTTTTGCTGGAATGAATCTGTATTCTTTTTGTAGTAGGCAACTAATCTGTTTTAATGCATGACTTTTAACAGTTAAATGTACTTTAAAATTTTTAATGAATCTTCACATTCCTTCTGATGTACTAAGTAAACCAGGGTGATAAGAAGCAAAGTAATTGTGCAGAGTGAATCAGTACTCCACTTCCCACAAGGAGCATTTAAGAAACTGTATGAGATGTCTGCTGTTAATGGCAATTACTAATGGGTTATTGTTTATTTGGCTATTAAAATGGTTTCTTTTTCTAGTTCAGCTGATATATGCCTGATTAAAATTAAATTAATAAAGGAAGCACTTTGAAATGAAACAGTAACAGTGCTATGCAATCAGTGTTTTAAAAGAAATTGTGTGATAGTTGCTGGTTTATTTCACCTGAAGCTCTGATAAAGAAATGTCAGACATATGTCCAAAGCACCTTGGTCTGGTTGTACATTGAAGTCCCACACTTACAGCACCAGTTTCTCTATTTCTCAGGCAGAGCTGTACCTAGGTTTGCAAATGGCTCCAGCAGTGACAAGAGAATTATTTAACAGCCAGCAGTGGCAAAGGTCTGAAGAAGATAAAGTCAGACTCTACAAGTACAACGTAAAGCATTAGAACAAAAATTAGGTTTCCAGTTGACTCTGTTATGTAACTTAAATGTTATTTGACTGAAATGATGAAGTACCTTCATTAAATTACCTAAGTGACTATTACCTTGGGGTTTTGCAGCACATGATGCTATAGATATAGTTTCTTTAACATTTGCATGCCTTCGACTAGACAGTAAAAGCAGTCCTGTAAACATTTCCAGTTCCTCACACTTCCTCTATAAAGTACAGAAAATTTTCACATCCATGTTCACAACATATCCAAAAGCTGAATAGCTTTAAATACAAAATACCACCTCAGCTGCATGCAGCTGCATTCAGTGGGACATACTCCTAGGCTCACCTTTTCAGGTAGCCAATGTGCACACCCAGCAACTGAATCGCTAAGGCCTTGGTCTGTGACTTGCCGCCATAATGTAGTGGCAACAATTACCATACCAGAACATGTGAAATGAATAACTGATTACTTGTCCAAATCAAATTATCTTATACCTGGTTGGCTTGCATATCCTTACTGCCTTGTGCCATTAGCCTGTTAAGCATGATGACAGAAGCAAAGACTAACTGAATTTGATGCAATGCATCTGTAAGAAACACAGTAAAATCATACTAAGACCTTTCTTTATTCCATTCCAAAACAGGTGCCACATTTACGGCTAACTTTCCGTATGAAATAGGTTTTGAGATATCACAAGCAATTTACACCTGAAAAAAGGAAGAGGTGATTTATTTTTATTTTCCCAGCTCCAAACTAAAGGAAAAAATGTTAATTGTAGTAAGCACAAACTGTAGATAAGCCCATGGCAGCTAAAATGTAGTATTTCAGCTTAAGTCTCAGACCTCCACCTTTACGAACAAGAATCTCCCTTTTGTCAGAAAAGCTTCTTTTCCTAATAATATCAATCCTTGATGGAGAAGCATGAACAAAATGTGAGCTCACCTGTGAGCATGGGAATGAGGAGATCAGTATCCAAAAGTAGTCTCCACTTCTATGCTAAGTAACATTCAGTCAGATATTTCTGCCATCTTCATCAGCAAAACCTATTCCCACCACCTTATTAAGCAAAGCTAGTAAAATGCCTCTTTCTGTTCATAAGCTTATAAAAAGAATTAGGAAGATGTCAATAGTTCCCTCAGAGAACTGATACCTACTTAATGAGTGATCCTGAAACCACACCACTTGTCCCTGCCTTAGTTCAATAACTGCATCATCCCTTTAACTGCTGTGAACAGGAACACAATATTTTCACTCCTCTCAGTTCTCCAGAAAAATATCTGATGTAGCTTGTAGGAAAAGTGAGAACCGAGACACAGCTATATCAGTTTGACTGGTTTCAGAGGAGGCATCTTCGTTGGGATGGCAAAAAATTAACTTCACAAAGAGATCAACAGGCACATATCTGAGAAATGGGAACACATCTGTTAGGCAGAACAACAGCTTCCTATACAGAACTGTTTCGTTCAGAGTCTCTTCAAAAAGATCTCTGACTAGTGTCCTGAGCTATATCTTGTAATTTCCCAGATTTAGAGTGGGCCTGAGCCACAGAGCTGTGGGTTCAGCCAGTTGGAGACCTTTGCATGTGTGCACAAGGGTGACATGAAGTGGGGAGCCAGATCTACTGGTTTGTCTCAAGTTCATCTCCAACATAAATGACTGCACCCTGCTTCTGTTTGCATAACTCCTTCAAAAAATTACTTTATTAAAATACAAGTGAAAACATCAGGTAGGAACAACTATGAATATCAAATGGACCTGATTATGACAACCAAGAAAATGAATAAGCCATTATAGGAAACAATAAGGTAAATGAAATGTTCTTCACTTGATTAAGGAAAGGCAAGTTCATTTCATAGTACCTCTAGACTTTGACTGCCAGTGAATGAGAGCTCTCTAATCTTTATAGCAAAGAAACAGAACAAAATGCAAACAGTATTTTATTTTAGACATAAAGCTATCACTAGATCGACACCTAATGATACTTGCTGGCAATATAAAAGAGGTGGAAAGGAAAATTACCTGGTGCAGTAGTTTGAATGAGTGATTTCTCAATGCCAAAGACTTGAGGAAATAACATGGAAAACCATAATTATTTCAAGTATTATTTTTAAGAATACTGTTTCTGCCTTTTACCAGAATGAATAATTTTCTCATTTGCTGCTCCGTATTTTATCTGTATATAAAAATATCAGTGTCTGTGTTGTGTATCAATAGCCAAACCCTACAGTAAACCACCTTCAGTCTCAAATGACTGAGAAACAGGCAAACACACTCTACCACAGACACAACTCATCTAGAAAACTTCTGCTAAGCTCCTCCTCATCTTGCAAAGACTTTCAAAACACATAACTCTGCTAAAATAAAGATCCCCTGTGTAGCTCCACAGCTGTGAAAAAGTAGTTAAGACTCAGCATTTAGCATCTAATCAGCAGAATGGGCCTCAGGTCAGGCTCCAACAACTTCCATTTGATCTCTGCTGGGCACATTAACGAGGACTCCTTTGTTGGGGTTGTAAGACAAAACTGGGTTCGTTCATGTTCCACGTTAATTTTTTCTTTAGAAAATCATTCCTATTTCAACTTTTCCCTCATGTTGAGGGAAGAAGTGTACTATTATAACCACTAAGGTGTCAACTGATAAGGGTGCCTGGAGAATGCCCAGATAAAACCCTGTAGATGAGATAGCCTAAAAAGGCCTAGTTAATAGCTCCTGATTAGGGATTTCACTGTAGGGCCTGTAGATCTTTTGGAAAAGGAAAGACTTTGTACAATAAGTCTCACTTTTTTCATAGGACTTTCTGGGAATCCTCTGCATCTTTAATCCCATCTATAACAGGCACAGCAACGCAGGGCTGAAGTGCTGAGCGAGCCCACTGGCCCAGGATGGGAAACATGGGGTTTGAAGCAGCTAGCAGTAACACTGGGAAGTGGAATAAACCACTTAAAACTGAAGTCAGTCGCAGTAGGCCATTAAGAAAATGTCCAGATATAATACCACATCATGAAACTTTAAAAATTGTTTTCCAAGCTAAACTGCTTGTCAAATTCAACACATTCACTAGCTATTCTTAATTTCTTGATTGCATTATTTATCAAAGAAAAGAAAAGTAAAGAAAAGGAAAAAAAAACACTGAAAAAATCCCACCAGGATTAAGGGTGTACTACTGCCTATGTTATGGAAATGCATTACAGTTTCCTTGTATGCCTTATTCAAGTTTTTTTGCATTAACACAGAACTCAAATAAAATGCATTTACTCTTGACTGCTTAAGCCATTAAGTCTTTTGCAATGCTCTGAAGTAACTAAGAGATCACACCATAAAAACTTTAAAATCAACAAACTAAATTGTGCCACAAAGTTCACCATAATGTAGCTAGATCGAAGTCATCTTAAATAGTATGTGTGCAGGAAAAACACACCTATGGCATTGTGTTCATGCCAGTACAGTGTATTGTGAGTAATTTCTTTATGGGCTATCCGTTGCAGCCAAAGGTGTAAGGTTCCTCTCAGAAGGGTGCTAAAGGAGCCCAGGTGACAAGGCACCTGCTCCCCTGAGGGACCAAGTGCCCTTCATCCCCAAGGGGTCCCGGCGACTTCCAGCAGACGAGCAAAGGGTGGTGCTGCCACAGGGCGCTGGCCTGCCAGGGTCAGTGGAGCCCGAGCGGATGCAGGACCAAGCTGTGCCATTTCGGGAGCAGTGACGGCAGCAGCACTTTCTGTTCCTGCAGCCTGAATCGAGCACTTCCCTCATCGCCAAACCATTGCCACCTGATGATCCCCTTTTAGATATCCATTACATTCACTTCCTATTTTGTCTGTGGAGAGCTACTGCTCACATTTGGATAAATCTGTGAAATCAAAAGGCTTGATATTGACTGTATTGGGCAATGTGTAGCCTCTGCTTAATTTTCTCATAAATGTACACACACATACACACACTCCAGGGTAGAAACAAGAGTGAGTTGGGGAAAGCTCCAAGCTTCCCTTTCCTTTCCCACTCCAGGCGGGGAATTGGCTTCATTCCTCACATACCCTTCGAACAGCATTTACTCCTCCTCAGGACACCCATGAGCTTAAATCCATCCTGCCCAAGCAAGAGAAACATGAGGCTCACCAAGGGGCAAATGAGTGTGTCACATGCCTGGCGGATCTTGGTGCAGGTACCTTGGCAGGACAAGGGCTGCCAGAGCAACACCTCAGTAACTGGGTACGTTGGGGCAATGAGGCACCATGTGTCCACCAAAATGCTGCCGCAGAGCACAACCAGGGGATGGGCCTGCAGTTCGTCTGTGGGCGATCCATGCCAGGCCCCGGCTGCAGCCACATCACTGAACTCAGCCCCAGCCGAGCCTGCTGGCTGCTGGGCTCACCCCAGTGCAGGTGAGCGCTGACTTTGTCAGCGTCAGGTAAGAGTTTCCTAAGCAGCGCTTTTGATGGTTTGGTCACAAAAACATCAGGTCTGCGCAGCAATCCTGGCGGCGTGAGGACGTGCCTTTTTGAGACACCCCAACTTTGATTTGTGATGATGATTTGGCCTGCTCTTATCCTCACTGAAATCTTTAGCAAACTGCCTGTTGACTGACGTTGAACAGGATAAAGCCTTGAATGAGCTGTAAGATGGAAAAAAATAGCGTCTGGCATGACAAAATGTGATGCAATAAAACCTCATCTCTATCTGGGACATTCAGTTACCAGAGCAATGTAATAACATGAATCAATGTAAAAGGCGAAGTCGTGCACAGCCAATACTTTTATAAATGGTACCTCTGAACATACCCTCTCCTGCCCTGCTGTAAACTTGCTCCTTCAGCTGGAGGGGTGTTAATCAGGAGAAAGCTGAAGGCCAGGGCAATCTGGTCATCTGGGCCGCCCCTTGAAACCACACTGCTTCCTCATGATAAGGAGACACTAACCCTTGGCACACCAACAATATGCCGTCAGGTAACATTTAGATTTACCCTCGAAAAACATGTTAGGACAGATTTGGTAGTAGTGACACAAAAAGCTGTCAGCAACTGATGCAATAGGACCACCCCTGTCTTATCAGGAGGTTCCCCATGAGGAAGAGCAAGAAGGGGGACATCCATGGCTGCTTCTGTGCAAGTGATTGGGCTTTCCTGCTGCCCTCCAGGGGAAGCCAGATCTGCACGTCCCCCTCCTTCCCTCACCAAATTGTGAGCTCTTCTGTTGATTCGCACTGTTGTGAAGCGTGGCCTAATAACCTTTCACAGAACCCTTTTTCTTAATTATCTTCATGGAACCATACAGGCTGTCTCTACAAAGGCATCATACTTTGGAGGCATGGTCCGATGGAGCCATTGTGTCTTCTGTCTGTGAAAATGCACATATGCAGGAGAAATGCCCGAAGCCAGTCACACTCCTGCTATTCAGAGTGCTTTCAGCCCTTGAACAAGTCCTGTGGGATTAATATTAAGCAGGACTTCACAAGGCTGCCAGCTAACTTGCATTTTGCATTTCCATTACACATCCCACAGCAAAGTTTGTGACATGGATTCTTTTGTTACTGGGTCAAGGGAGAGAAAGGCTCCAGGGAAAGCCTCCAGACAGCTTTAGATAATTATTGCAAAGGAAAGCTCTGCCAAGATCTACAGAATTGTTTCCTATTTCACTCATTGTACCCTGCTTCTGGCCTCCTAGGTTTCCCTGGTATGAACATTGCTGACCTGTCCTGTGATCCTTTAGCCCTCCTTCCAAGTATTTGTTGCATGCATATTTCCTTCCTCAAATGATATTTTAACTCATTTGAGCGTATCTGGTTTGGCTCAAGCAGTTGCAAGACCAGACACTTATGTACAGGACATCAAGCTCTAGACCTGTGTCTGAAATCTCATTTCTGAGACACTACAGCAAGTTGGGCCACTTGTGAAAGGGGTATAGACTGAATTAAAATAAATAATTCAACAGAACAATATTTTAAGTAGGAAAGAGTATATATTAAACCCTAATTTTGTTCAAGGCTGTGACATAAAGAGTGTTCATGCTCATGTTCTTCTGTAGATCTGCAAGCACACACGGATACAGTTATTCCAGTGGGACAGTTAGACTAATGCTAAAATTCAGCAGCTCCTCCTGAGTCCTTGTTCCCAAAGGTTATGCTCCTAAACATCACAACATAAGTGGCCCAGATTGCCACAGGACTGGAGCTTCCATTAACTAGGAGATCTCTTAGGTAGTCAGTACTTCAAGGAAATGAAAAGCTTCTGTGGTGGCTGCTTCCATAGTTAAATCAGCATCTACTTATGTGCTGGCTTCTTTGACACAAAAGTCACAAAAATCTTAATTACTGCTGAAAGACAACAGACTAATGAACAGAATGAGCATTAATGCACCTGTTTTGCAAATAAGGAGAGGCACAAGAAAGGCTTACCATAGGATTCACAAGACACATTTTGTCATCTGTAATGAAACTTCGGATGAATGCCAGTGGCTAAATTCAGTAGAGGACTCCAGAAAGCGAATGCCAACCCGCCTTTCTCATTTACGAGACATCTAAATACCACCATCG